CGCTAAGCCGACCAAGTGAATACTGACATTTAGGTCCAAGGCCGGAAAGAAAGCAGTTTCTTCCTAGCACCGGTTATGCTGTGGGCATGAAAAACATAAAAGTGGAAAACAGAGTCACCATTCATTACAGATCTTTAGAGTACTTAGTGGCTCATTTGGCCAGCATGGAAGGAGTTAACAGAGAATAGGAAAGACATCGCCTAATGTCTTCTGGAAAAAGACGGCTTTTTGTGCAACTATATATATATATTCCATTCAGTATATCACAGTAATTAATAACCATGGAGGAAATTAGTTTTCTCAAATAAAGATGGCCTATGAATAGCTTTCTTCCTGGAATAAAATTTTGAAAATGTTTAGCTTTAATTACACCAGTAAGTGCAGGTTGACAGATGATTACACAGATCTTAGCAGCAATGATAAACACCAATATCAGAAAGTCTAATTGCCGTATATTCATTCTAGATTAGACCATTTGGTTCTATTACAGTTTATCAGTTCCTAGGGTCTTTCCTAAAAATTGATAAGTTGACTTTTTCAAGGATGTATGGTGCTTGAGTATGCTGAGGGTGAAATGAACATTTATTAACTATTTTCCCATGGCAATCCTGCAGGAATTGCATGGGACAAATTAGTTGAATTTCAGCTTCTCTTTATCTACTGTGATTTCTGTCTCCTTTTCAGATTTCAGGGACTTATGCATGTCTTTCTTGGCTCAACAACTGACAGGTGCATTGTCCAGCCATGGTTTTTTTCCCCTTTAACTATGGAATTGTTGCTTTTTAAAAGAAATGTCACAGATGCATGCAATTCTTCCCAAATACATCACACCAATACCTCATTTTTTACATGATGAATGGAAAGAGTACGTCCCAGGACTTGTGAATAGTGAGCACTGTGACGTGCTCTCTAACAAACTTATTTAGTCAAACTGATGTCTTATTGCCACCCACTGAAATTCCATTTTTGCTGTGTTCTACCTCATTAGTTTTAAAATTTGCAGTCATTCCCAATGTATGTAAAGTTTCTACACTCAGAAAAGTGCACGTATTTATTCATTTTTAGGGGTAGACATTTAGCCAGCCACTGAAAGTAATATAAAAGTAATGCAAAATACAGTTATTTACCATAGGAATTTGGATTTGTTGAATGATGTGTAAACATACTGGCATCATTCCTGCCGGGGCAAAGCACCATAGAAGCCAACTTGTAACAGGGTGACATGCTCATGCGTTATCAGAGAACAGTTAGTTTGAGCTGAAATGGTCAGGGGCAGCTCTGTGACATTTCTGGGAGAGTAGAACCCAAATGGCCACCTAGTTTGTGGGTCTGTAGGGACCATGGGGAGTTGAGATTTATACTTAGAAACATGAGTGCACCTCGTTAAGGAAAGTGAAGAGCTTGACCTAGCTGAAGGAAAGGATCTACACAGGAAAATAGTGAAAACTGATTACTAGAGCAGGTTGCATCGTGGAGACTCTTAAAAAAGAAATTTTTCTGAAAAAAAAATCTAAAGATCCACTGAAACTTATTGAAAGTTTGTGAGTGAGTGAGTGAAAGAGTAAAATTATGACTTAAGAAGATAAATTGAGAGCATTGCTTACTGATGTGTCTGCCCAGGATCATTCAGCAACAGAGTTTCTCCAGAAGGCTCTCCCAGGTCAAATACTTGGGGAAATACTGGGTGTCTTTCCTGTGGGTCTTCTCTAAGACATTAATATGTTAATGGACATTTTGATTTCCAAAAGGAAAAGACAGCATTTCCCAAACCTATTTGGCCACGGAACACTGTCTAGGAAAACAATGTGGGGATCACGTATTCCATATACTTGTGCCAGTCTGTCTACGAACTGATAGATGTAAGATGGATACTGGTCTATAATTTTAAATAACTCATTTGATTTGCAGTTTAATTCTTTGTTCCCAAATTGGTAGTAATGCAAGATCTCTCCATTTTATCCATGAGTGTGTCTGTGTTTTGGAGTCTTCTACAGCCAAGGAGTTAGGAGGTAGTGGAATGTGGAATGACACCTACCTGGCCCTCTGTGTCATCTGTGTGCACTGGGCACCTGCCGAGCTGTCCTAGTTGCTGTCTGGCCCTGGGGAGCTGGCCTGCACAGCTGTTGCTGAGACATGTGTCATCACATCCAGTGACTTTATCCCTTCCCTAACATTGTCAGATTGATGGAATCATTTCACTGATCTGTTCCATGTTGCGGTGCAAGAAGTTCTGTATGACTCTACAAGGCTCTGTCTTAGAGATGCGATTTAGCTGTTCTGTGAGGGCTTCCTGATTCCTCTTGGTTTCTATTCAGGAAATGGTGCACATGTCCTATATACCTCACTGTTTTGGGATTTTCCCATGAGATTGCCACCTAAATCTTCATGCCATGAATTGTTTTTGTTTCCTAGGAAACTGTATTTTTAAAACTCAGAGGCAACAAACAGCTGTTATCCCTCATATTCTTCTGTAACTTCTGTTCTCTGAGGAAATGATCTGTCTCTTAAGACAGCTTACGACAGAGAGCAAGACAGAGGTAAGAAATACCTGGGGGGAAAATCAATGGTTATTTCAAAGACACTCCCTTCCAAACTTCTTAATGCCCTGTGGAAAATGCTGGTGTAAAGAATGGAGGGTTAACAACTCATGAATGAAAGTAGGTGTGTGGTAGGAATGCTGTCTTGAGTTTTGAGTATCATGTGTGGTTGATGACAGTCACAGCCCTCAGTAAGTGATGGATGACTCACTGTCTTTGTGGTCCTTCGTGCAGTCCTCCCCTACATGGACTCTTGAAAAGCATCTTGCTGGTGGGAACTCTTCCTCCGCCGTATGAAGAAGGCCAGGCTAGCTTGCTGAGGAGATGGGGATCCACCTAGAGGCAGCGCCAAGCAACAGACACGTGAGTCAGTCCCAGCTGAGCTGCCCACTGACTGCAGGTGCAGAAGTGACCTTAGCTGAGACACAGACTGCCCAGATGCGCCTCCTCCAGGGTGGTAATATGAGCCATAAGCAAATAAACTGGTTATCTAACCCATTTTTATTGAATCAGTATGAAAATGCAGAATACAATAGGAACAAGTGTAAAACAATAGGTGAAGAATAGAAGATAGAGTAGAGTCAGATGTGATTATGGCCATTTCTAATCTTTAGGAGCTTCGAAAATTGTGGACAGGCATCTGCATAGACCCGTGGTAGATGGGGCCTTGGCCTAATACTGTCCTTGTGCATTTTTGAAAATGACTGTTCCTGTCATTCACATGGATTCCAGTGGTTGTCCTGTTGTCACTGATGAATTGAAAAACAAAGTTATCTTAGTAAAGCACATTCTCAGGTACTAGACTCAACGAAATTCCTGATTAAATAGATTTTCCTAAAGATTTCCTCAAAACAGTGAGATAAATGTCATAAAACCAAAAAATGTCAAAAATGCAAAGGGATTGGGAGAGGGTTATAGTTCAGTGGTTCAGTGTGTGCTTACTACACATGAGGTCCTGGGTTCAGTCCCCAGTACCTCCATTAAGATAAATAAGTGAATGAATGAATGAATGAATGAATACATACATAAAATAAAAATAAATCTAATTACCTACCCCACCAAATACAAAGAATCTCATGATACATGTCCCTAGGTTCTGAATCTAAACTCTGCCTTATCAAATGGACTGCTGCCAATTAGCTGTGATTACCTAGGCTCAGACGATCCTAGCTCAGAGTTCTCAGAGGAACTTCTACTGGCCTTTGTAATTGGTTTTTTACATATTTACTTTACCTCCATTATTAATCTTGACAATAATCCTAAAACTTAGATGTTTTTATTCACATTTTAGAGATGAAGGAACTGAAACTGAGCTAAAATAATTGGCCAAAGTTAACACAGCTGTGAATAGTAGCCCAGGAGTTGACAGTCTGGAAAGGTGGTTTGGCATCAAATCAAGTCCTTTTTTCTCACTGATGCTGGTTCTTTTCAACCTGTTTCAAAGGCCCTGGAAGCCTGTGGTACCTCAGGTACCACTAAGCAGGAAAAAAGGGGGTGAGGAATAAACAAGGCAGTGCTCTGGGCCCCTCACTCTATTTTCAGCCTGAGCACATCTGATATATATGAGTCCCATTTAAAGTTTTGTTTGAAAAAACTTCCAAACACTGTGTTATACCCTGATGTCTCCTAATGCTGTACTAGCAACTTCCTGCAGTCAGACCTGCCTTACCCTTTCTTTGGTCTCACAACGGTATGAAAGCGTCCCTGACCTGGAGCAGGTGGAAATCATTGCTCTTGGGATGTGATTTGGGCTCCAGTACTGCACTGTCTAAGCGTCTCCCATGAGCCCTGGCAGCCTTGCTGTCTTTCTCACCAAAGCCACATACATGATTCACACACCCTGCAGCCCCCTCCCTGTTACTAGTGATGTCACCTTCATCAGGAGTGGCCGCGCGCCCTCCCCAGAGGGAAGGGGTGTCTTCTCCCCAGAGCTGGAGGCCGTTTTCCAGGAAAAATTGCACAAAAGAAATCTGAAACACGTAAGGGCAAAACGGGGTGTTCTTTTCCATATGGCATAGTTATAAATCATTTCATGTCTAACTCTTGAATCTAAAAAATGTAAGAGAATTCTGAGAAAAATTTGGAGTTGATTAAAAAATGAGTATGCAAATCAGTTTTCTCTAATAAGTGATACTTTCAAGAGTACTTTGGGTACAGATTTTAAAATTCTTTTAATCAGTGGGCTAAAATTATATTTGTGGCCTCGTTCAATAGCTAACATGTTTGTAACAATGGTTACATCTTTAAAACTAGGATAATTTTCAAGTGACCCATGAAGGATACTTGGGGTGAATCTGTGTATTCTCTTACTAAATTTTATTTATTTGTTATTATTTCATTTTTTCCAGTTTTATTAAGTTGGCATATAACATCTTACGGTAATTAATAAAGTATCCAATAGATAAAAACTTGAGAAATTCACCTCTTAAGTGAAGAAATATCTGAAACTTCAGAAGCAGAGATTTCTGTGATTTTTCTTGTGAAGGAAGGAAGCAGCTGGAGAGAAAACAGGTCTGTCTGACTGCCTTGCCTCGTCTTATGCTGGCTGTCAGGTTGAGCTCGGGGAAGACCTGTGATCTTACTAGGCCTGTTGTGGCTCTGTTCCGATGTTCTGGAATCTTTTACTAGCCTCCTCCCCCTGCAGTGGGGGTGACATAGAAGCTGAGTATCCTTCTGAGGGACTGCAGCTGGCAGAGGAAGGCCAGTGTGTGTGGAGCCGTGGGTGCTCATGTTGCCCAAGCCGCCGAGATGTGCCAGCAGTGACCAGAGGAGCTGGGTGTTGTTGTCATTATGAGATGATGAAATCATGGGACCTTCGCCTTAGTTCACACTCCCTCAGTGATTAGGCTGAGAATTGAACCTCGGCTGTCAGACCCCAAAGCTCAGGTTCAGTTCTGTGCCGTTATCCTGCTCTTATCTCTCTGTGGTTCAGTCTCCTGGATGGGAAAGGAGAAATGACTCAACTGCTCTGTTTCCCACTTAACAACCCACCTTCCCATAACCCCAGATCAATGACTCTGCCCCTCCAGGGGAGTGTATTTAAAATGTGCACTTTAAAAAACTGGTCCATCACAGTTAGTACCACAGATTTCAGGTTCAAAGTGGGGACCGTGCCCCGCAAGGCATAAAAATGAGAGATCTCATTACATTTTTTGTGAAGTCCTTTTCTAGTTCTGAGCTGGTGGCATGAGGTGGACCAAGAAGGCTTGGGGCTGTACACTCTGATAAATTATAAACTGTCATCTGATTGAATGAGGAGTGTTTTTCAATGTTGTGGAGCACCCAAAACGTGTTTCAGTAGGTTAACATTGGCTCTTGGCAGCTGATCTAAAAGCCTACAGACAGAAAAATGCACTTCTAAACAAAGCATGTCGTTTTGCTTAGGAAGTGGAAATACAGAGACAGAGAACAGAGTACGTCTTTGTAAACCATGCACACAGTCCTCTCTCGCAGAATTCTGAGCATGAATGCATACAGAAATGTTTCATTGATTTCAATTTCTGAACCAGATAATAACTTTTGTGGTTGATTAAGTGTTTGAAAAGTTAAGATCGTAACACTGGCAGATTGATTCTCTGGCACCTCTTTTTAGACCAGTGGATTTCATCTCCAACAGTTCCATGTCTTCAGCAGGTGTTAAATGGTCATGGATTCAATATTAATAAGATTAGGATAAAAATAAGAATTCAGTAAGAGCAGTAATGCATGCATCTGTTTTTCAAGTGGCTTCTATGGGTAGCAAATGCAACCATTTGACATTGGTCATTATTTTAGTGGACAGAGCTGTAAACTATAAGCTAATATTTTCCTAAGAGGATGTTGGTTGTGTTTTTGAGGTGTGACTGTCATTACCTCCAGGTTGCAGTTATTTTTTCCTCCGCATTCCCTTGATCAAGGACACTGAGCCATCTGTCATGGAGACTGGCTGTAAAAATACTTCCTTCGATATTTTGAAGGAAATGCTTCTATAGCTTAAAAAAAAGATATATATTATTATGATAAATACATACTGGAGAAATAACAGAGAAAACATTAAGTTAAAAATTCCGTTCAGGCCTCACTTCCTTCACAACGTCCAGTTTGTGACCCCGGCAGAGCTGGGTTGTAACTCTACAGACTCGCACACCCAGGAGGGGCTTGGACTCTTCTCCATCTAAAACTAGAAGCATCACAGCAGAGTCTGGACGGCAGTGAGAGTGATGAGGGAGGCACCCCCCACCAGCTGGGCCTCACTCTCTGTGTCTGTGTCAGCACTGGTCCCAGCTGACAAGGTCTGGTGCTCACCCATCCCGAATCCTGCGAGTGTCTGAGAAGCCCCGCGCACGCCCATGTTACTTGTTTACTTCAGACAGTGCTTGCTTTTAATTCAAGGACGAGAGGTTGTGACATAGAACACACACCCCTCACACTCTTGCGCACATATTACAAGAAAACTAGGCTTTCTGAGCGAGGTGTGCATGCTTCATGGGGAAAGACTACTCATAATAGCTTCAGTCTTCTTTTTTAAGCTGTGTGAAAGTTCAGTTTGCAGCCTTTTAAGCAGCAGGTGCTAACATATCAAAATCCCCAGTGGGTGCCTACATGTTACTCCTTATAACTCCTTGAATGGAATACATCCTCCCAAATAGGACATGTAAAATAGAGTGGAACTACAGGCCTCTGAGTGTCAGGGCTAGAGGTACGCAAATGTAAGCTTCCTACGTGGGGGCCTGGAAAATGTGTCACTTTAGAGGGCTGATGAACAAATCTTTTTTTTTTCACTTAAAGTATAGTCAGAGATAATGTGTTAATTTCTGGTGTACAAATCTTTGTATCACAGAATTGGGCCTATTAAAGTGTATGAAGTTGTAATTTTTTTCCCTGGGGGGTGGGTAAGATGGTAATTGGGTTTCTTTGTTTGCTTATATATTTATTGATGGAGGTTCTGGGGAATGAACCCAGGACTTCGTGCATGCAAAGCATTCATTCTACCCCACCCCTGAAATTGTAATGTTTTGTGCAAGGGAAATTTTTGCATCACCTTGCTAGTTTCAAAGGCACACCGGGCTTCCCACTGGTCTCACTCCACAGCCCAAGACTTCTCTTAATAGGAGCTTATTCAGAAAATGCTTCTAGGCAACTGTGATGATTGTAATGCAGTCAGTGTTCACATGCTCCAGTCCTTACTGAACTGCTGTGTGTGCGCCAGCCTCTCTCCTGAGCACTGCCGACGAAGCAGTGACGGCAGGGGACAAGGTCTCTACGCTCTCATCCCTGTACTGTGTTCTTGGTGTGCAGCACCCTCTCTTGTCATTAGGGTTTTTCTCTGTGTTCCCTCTGGAGTAACCCCAGTGTTTTTGGAGGGAGGAAGCGCTCCGACTGTGGCTGGTTCCGGGAGTCTGGGAGGGGACAGCAGGGTCCGTGCCTCATGTGTGCAAACTCCATGCACTAGGAGCTTGTGTGTCCTCCTTCCTGGACCCTGTGCTGTGGAGCTCATGGGTGAGGCTGCTTGCTGTGAAGCCTGAGCATGACTCAAGCAGGATATGCCAAGGGTGTTGCTGTGGGACCTCTGTCTACAGTTTAATGGCAGACTCAGTGTGGTGCTGATAAATATTCATTTCTGGTTTAGACCAACTGTCTGGTTATTTGACACATGGTATTATCAAGGCCAAGTTTGCAAAGTCTGATTCCCCATTAAGATCAGTCAGCTTCAGGAAGCAAGAACTTTAGGAGTGTCTTAAGAAGTGTACCCATGAGTAGCCAGCCTCTTGCTAGTCTGTGCTTATAATGGGAAATAGACAAGAGCCTAACTCTGACTAGATGATCAAATTCATTCCATGTGCACTTACATATGGCAACACTCATCTTGCTCTTTGCACACCTAGTGTGTAGTATGATGGTGTGAGTGTGGTCGGGGTCAGTTCTAAGTCAGTTCTGAACTGTTGCTATTTATCCCACAATCAGATTATGACCCAGCATTACTCGGGGACAAGGAAAGCCCAAATGTAGTGGAGCTTCTAAGGCAATTTTAATGACCTGTTTGTAGTCATTACTACATTAATATATTTTTATTCAGAACTGCTAACAAAAACCAAGATGGATTGATTAAATTCTTTTTCTGTCCTATGATTCCCTTTGTAGAAATGTAACTAGATACCTGACTTAGCTGTATTATTTCAAAATCAGCCTATTTCTTCTATAAATCTATTGAATTTTCAGAATGCCAAACTAATTTTGACTGCTGCACCCACTTTAGAAGACAGATTTATAGAAAGAGGCGTGTGGTAGGAGCTGGTTACCACGTAACTCAAACCATGGGTGGTGGGTTAAACGTAACAAACATGAACAAGGGAGGCCAAAGGTGGTAAAGGAGGTGAGAGGAGGCACACGTGGTGCCATCCTCCCTACACTAGCTTTCAAGTAAATGCATTAGGAGACGGGGAGGGAGGATGATGAAATGATCGCAGATTTCAGTGGCTTTACTGAGCATGTTTTGATTCATTGTAAGGCAGATGTTTACTTACTTTGATAAACTTGTATAAGTATTTCCAAAAGCTTAATATGAATTTGTGTGTGTGTGTGTGTGGAAACTGCCCACATTAGGAAGGCGGTAAGGAAGTCCTCAAAGGCAGAAAGCTTGTTTTGGTACATTCTGTACTGGTGAGTGTTTTGAATTTATTATTTATTTTTGTATTTGATTGGAATTTTCAGGAGTGAAGATGAGAGGGTTGTGATGAAAAAGGAAAGTATACCTAACATGGGACTTCTAACACCCAAAGCAGCTTCCTTAAATTTAGACTTTGTGGAGTGTTTTCCATTTTTTCAGATCCTTCCTCTATTACACCTGTTGTTCTTCGGCAGTCATGACGAAGGACCCCTCACAGAGCTTCAGAGTCACTCTGTGCAGATAATGCTAGAGCTTTCCCTACCTTTAAGACGATTGTCACCACAAGAATGGACTCATCCTCCAAGTTCACTTTGTCCCCAGATTTCAGCTTCTCCTTTAGGGCTCTGCATGATTTTATACAGGCTGATTTTTTGAAGATGTGTTTTGTGAGTGGCCCTTTTTGATTTATAAACAAAAGTGTATCCTAAAGGGAAGAAAAGAAAAGCATGTGGCATCTCCTATCTCCCAGCCCAGAGCAGGTGCTTGTCCTCTTTTGGAGAGACGGAGCGTGTGTGAGGGCCCCGTGTGGAACTGGAGGGACTAAAGCCAATTTGGAATTTTTTTTCAGTGTCTCTAAATGTATTTTCTACCCAACAATCCATTTAACATTTATACACTGAAATATTTTAAATGCATATTTAATCAGATTTTCCTTTTCTGTGAATGTACACCGTGAAGTCGAACTTCTCTGCATTGAGACCTTTGTAGAGTCACCCTCTCCTTCCCCGATCCTGTCTCATTCTTCCCTGATACAGATGCTCTTCCCCAAATATGGTCATCTTTGCCATATTTGGCATTCATTTACAGGCATGCCTTTACAGGCATTCATTCTGTGTTTAACCCCCCTTCGCTGACTGTGTACCCCAATTCTACTGCCTGTATTCCTCCCCTCTTTTAAATCAGG